TCTTAAAAAATTATTAAAAAATATATATTAATTTTATTTAATTTTTAAAATTATATGAACAAAACTTTATAGCCAGCTCTGGTGTATTTTTTAAATCTATTTCAGTAGGAAGATGAAAATCTTGGAGTTTATGGAATTAATTCTGTGCCTTTTTTTTTGGAGAGAGAGGGAGTACGAGTGAGGTTGGGGGGAGGGGCGGAAGGAGGAGAGAGAATCTTAAGCAAACTCCATGCCCAGCATGGAGCCCCATTCAGGGCTCGATTTCATGACCCTAAGATCATGACCTGAGCCTAAATCAAGAGTTGGGTACTTAACTGACTGAGCCATCCAGGCGACCCTGTCAGTGTCTTTTCAAAAAATTAGTGTTTAATTAATTTTCTACTTTATCCATGTAACCTAACTCTTAAATATTGTATCCTTGTTGGAAATTTCAAGCAAGATGATTGTGATATTTTATCCATAAGATTGACCTCCATTATTAATCTTAGATGTTAAGGTTCAATATTTACTTTGCACTGTAATAGTTTACCTACTTAGATAATTCGCCCTCTATTTTAAAAACTTCTAAAACATTCAGTAGCACAATAACAGCATAGGTTTTCCAGTAATTATTTTTGTACCTTTCTCCATTGTTCCTTTCTTTCTTTTTCTTTCTTTCTTTCTTTCTTTCCTCTTTCCTTCCTTTCTTTCTTTCCTTCTTTTCTTTCTTTCTTTCTTCTTTCTTTCTCTCTCTCTTTCTTTCTTTCTTTCTTTCCTTCCTTCCTTCCTTCTTTCTTTCTTTCTTTCTTTCATATTTAGATTTACACTCTGTGCTAGGAGCTGTTAAGGGTACAATTATTAAGACATTAGCTTCACCCTCAATTGTTTGATATTTGGGGGAGTCATTAATAAACAAGAAGCTAGCAGGCTGGGATAAATGAAAGCTCTCTTGTGGGGATGTAACTAATTTTGACTAGAGAAAGAGCAAGCAGGAAAGTTTCATGGAAGAGGGAGGAATTGATACCAGAGTATTTCACCCCAGTATAACCCACTTCTTCTTCAGTGTATTTTCAGGTAGATTTTCTTGGTAATGAAGCACCTCAGGGTGATTTTCTTCTCATGGCATCCTGGTTAAGTGCCTGCTATTTCAGGGAACCAACAGTAGGGGGTCCTGTGGTAATGTCCATGCAAAACCCTAAGGGAAATACCATCCCAAGGAAATCTTGAACAAGACTGTACACCTCACAAAGGTGACAACTGAAGGATGGTTTTGCCTCTCAGGCAGCAGGAGTTCATGGATGCTCTGTTGTCATTCATGCAACTGGGACAATCTCTGTGTGACTGCTCTACTCTCTTCTTTCTGAGGCTTGCTTGTATAACTCTCTTTTCTCTAACTTTTATCTTTGCATCAGTTCAGTCATTGTTTCTGCTTCCTTATATTTTTAAGCTTGCTCTCATCTGTTCAACACCCCTCTACCTTCTATCCTCTTTCTGTCTATTCACCCTCAAATCTTACTACAAAAAAACTTAAAAAAAACCCATCATTTTCTGGTTCAAGCATGAGAGATAATCTAACAGGCTAGAGTTCTTTCTTTTCATGCTTGCATTAAACTCTGTTGGCCTGAGTTGGCACCATGACCATATCAGGGCTAGCCCAGTGGCTTGGCTGTGTCCCAGCCACTGTGGGAAGGGTGGCAAGATCACCCCTTCTGTGTCATTGTGTGAGGAAAATGAGTTCTCAAGGAGAAAAATCTGAACCCTTCAAACAATCTCTTAAGAAGCCACAGTTACCAGAAGGTCATTTTGATGCACTAGAAGATTCTAATTTAGAGAAAGTACCATTGCCAAAATTTCCAGATTATGTTAATCCTGTTACCAAAGAAAAAGGTGGACCCAGAGGCCCAGAACCTACTCAATATGGAGATTGGAAATGAAAAGGACATGTATTGATTTTTAAGCCACACATTATTAACTTCATAACATGTTTCATGACAGCTATCAAATATAGAGATAAAATTTGGTGGCGTGAAAACATTTATGGTCTTTATATCCACCAAACATTAATGAAAAGACCTGAAGACTTCCAAAAACTGATGTAGCAGCAATGGAAATGCATCATTCAGATCTCCTCTTGTGGGAAGCAGAGTTGACTGAGAACTCCAGCTGTTGCCCCATTGGATCCCCCACTGTGTTCCTGCTGAAGCCACACTTCCCCTCAGCTGTTCTTAGCCAATGAATGAGTATGGTGGGGCTGCAGAAAATGAGTATGCTGGCCCACTCCCCTGATGGGTGACATTGGGTCAAGGACTCCCCATTAGCTTCCCCAGAATTTTCTTGTTACTGTGCTGCTGTTAGAAACTCTTCCTACCCAGTCTTCGTTTTTTTGCTCTTTCCCCTCACAGGTGTCAGACTCTGCCTACTTTGCCCCTTTATAATTCAAAACATCTCCTCAATAAATCTCTTTCACATTTAAAAAAATAGAACAGAACTCTGTTGGCCCATTGGTGAATGTACGGCTTTGGGACATGAAACATGGCTTCCTGAGGCTACTGTATTAGCAGGAACTTTGTGTGGGATACTTACCCTTAAAAGGGGTAGGGGCTATGACATTGACTGACATTGATTGACTGACATTTGAGTAAAATAATATTCTACCTTGAGAAGTGCTGACATTTTGTTTTGGAATCACTTGGGAGAATATTTTCTATAAATGTTTCCAGTACCTCAGAATAAAGGGTTTGAGGAATCCGTGTGGTACACTGATGTTGACATTTTCCCTCTAGCTTTATAATCATTACTTATTATGCTGCTTAGCAACTCTGTAGCATTATCTCCAAACCTAATATTAACTTGAAATACATTAGGAATGAAAATTATAGAAACTTGACTCTTAGGAATTGATATTGTTTCAAGTTGCTGTCAGCAATAACATGATATTACAAGGCAGACTATACAATATAGACTATTTCGTGGCATTTCTGAGTTTAATATAAAGACTAATCTAACACTGAGGAACTTTAATTAATAATAATAGAAATGTAATGGCAATAAAAAGCCTTTCAGCTGGCTTTTCACATCCCTTAATCTAAACAAGTTTTCTCAAGAGGAAGAACAAAACAAAACCCTGAATTATATATATTTTTTCTTCTTTGAAAATTGTTCATAAAGGCAGAAAATGTGGCATGATTTCTTTGAGTAGTACAATGCCATATTCATCTTAACGACCTTTATTATTCTCCTTTTCAAAATTTGGGCAATGCTTTGCAAAAGGATTGTTTAAGAAGCAAAAGCTTTCAGTTCCTATGAAGGAAGGAGGGAAAAGTGGGTCACAGAAGGATGCATTAATTACTTTGTCAACACCATTCATTGAAAACCTATCCTCTTGGCACTATGCTATAGTAATTACTTATAAGACAGAAAGAATTTGGCCAAACCAAAAGAAATATTGAGCTAGTGTTCATATTGCTGATGATATGAAAAAACTAAGTATAGAGAATTTATACCTGTATGATTTGCAGATATTTGAGGACTTTTTCACTTTGAAAATAAACACTGACCCATATATCTAAAAATGAAAAGAATTCAGGAAATGTGTGTGGGCCTTTGAAAATTGGACATAGAGTTCAAAGAGAAATGCCACGTTCTTTCTGGTGAAATCCCCACCTTTCACAAGTTAGCAAGAGCCCTCTTAGAGCAGTGTGGCTTTTAATTTTTGGAGGGATAGGGACCACTTTAAAATCTGATGAAAACCATGGACTTTCTTCTTAGAAAAATACAAATCATCAAAAAACAACATTTTACAATGAATTGTCAGGGTCTGTAGAGCCACAGAAGCCCACCCAGGAAACTGATACCAAAAAAGAAACCCTGATTCTAGAGAATGTGTTCTTAGTGGATGCAGCTGGGAGTGGCTGAAGGAAGGTAGAGGTGAGGTGGGAGGTGAAGGAGTCCGGTTGAGAGTATACGGGGCAAAATCGAAGAACTCCCTTCAACTTACCATTGACTTTTCACCTCAATCATTGCTAGACCCTCCCTAATTTCTCTACAAATAGCATAATAAAAAAAAATTAGGATTTTGAACTCTGTCTCTGCTCTTATTTAACTAAGTGACTTTGGACAACCAGTTAATCCTACTTAACTTTACTTCCTGATCTGTCAAGTGGAGATAATAACTTAAAAATTATCTTAAGAATTAAATATCATACTGGGCACCTGGGTGGCTCAGTTGGTTAAGCGACTGCCTTCGGCTCAGGTCATGATCCTGGAGTCCCGGGATCGAGTCCCGCATCGTCTCTCATTCTCTCTCTCTCAAATAAATAAATAAAATCTTAAAAAAAAAGAATTAAATATCATATGTATTGTTCAATGGAAGCCCTCAAATGATACGCATTATTGTATTTACTAACACTACCAAAGTTTTGTATGTATTTCAAATTTAACCTGGAGGCAGATAATTGTTTAGCCAGAAAAATTTTAAAAATATAACAAAAGATGTTGCCTAAAATGAAAATATTTCTTTTAAAATTCCCCTAAGTGACATGCCTTGGGTATTTGTTGAAAAGAAATTGGTTGATAAATTGGAGCTATAATAATAAAATAGAAAAAAAAGTTTTGTTAGAACAAAATTTTAACAGAAGATATTGAAGATAAATATTTTGATGTTGAACTATTTTGGTACATTTTTATAAAATTTTTACATGATTAGATCAGAATGATTTTTATTTTAGAGATAAGCTGTATTTTATTTAATTTTTTGAGATAAGCTGTATTTTAATTTCAATACAATCCATTGTTAGTCTTCTTTAAGGTTTGTTAATAAAATATAACCAACAATTACATATAATATACACTTGTATTAATGCATTATTTTTGACATTTCAGAGTGCAGATGATTCAGATATATCTGTCATTGCCCAAAACAAGAAATGCTTTGACAACGATATTGTTTGTTCCAAAAGTGTTTTGATATCAGTTGGGGATACTGAAATTTACCTGAATGATACTCCTTACAAACAGGTTAGTAAATTATTTCTTTTAGGATCATTTTAACTTCTCCTGAGAATACTGAAAACAAAATAGAAACAATTCAGGGTAGTTTTTCTGCAAGTGGTTACTAGATTTAGATTTTCTCTGTTTTTTTATGTGGCTTCAGTAAATCATACATGACTTGTCTCTTTTGCTTATTTATTTTTTTTAAGGATTTTATTTATTTGAGAGAGAGAGAGAGAGAAAGAGAGCGTGAGAAAGAGCACCAGTGGGGAGGGGGGAGGGGCAGAGGGAGAGGGAGAAGCAGTATCCCCACAGAGAAGGGAGCCCGATGCGGGGCTTGATCCAAGGACCCCAGGATCCTGATGAGCCAAAGGCAGACGCTTAACAGACTGAGTCACCCAGTCGCCCCAGTCTCTTTTGTTTATAGTCCGCTTCTCCGTATTCCAATTCTTTCCTCTTTTCTTCAAACCCATGGTCACCATTCTGGCCCTAGCAACCATCACCAGTTATCTGGAGGACAGCACCATCTTCTGCACTAGGCACTTAGCTTCCCGAATTAGTTCCTCTCCTCTTACCTTGCCATCCTGCAGCCAGGGTGGCTTTTTTTCTAAAATGGGGATCTAATCTCCCGTCAGTCTAGTGCTTCAAAACTTTCAGATGACTTCCCAGTTCTTTGATAAGACCTTACCAGACTGACCATTGTCACCTCTCCTACCTCACGTCTCCTCACTTTCTGCTCCGAGCGCATGTTCCAGAAGTTGGACCTTTCATTAGTTCTTCAGACGGTCTATTCTTTCTCTCACCGCTGTTTCTTCATGAATGTCATTGCTCCTGCCTGGATCTGCCTTTTCTTTAACTTATTCTTCTGTGATAGGTCTCATCTTAACTCCTTCATACCTTTAAGCACCCTGTTAGGACATATAGCACACATTAGTGAAATTACTTGTGTGGTTGTCTGCTTCTCCCATTTGTTTACAAATTCTATGAGAAGTGGGACCACTGTCTCCCTTATTTATTCCTGTACTCTTGGAGCCTGCCCACTTTGAAAGCATGACTACATTTCATTCATTCATTCGTCTACTATCTACCAAAATCTATATTAATTATTGGGACTGAAACAGTGAAAAGACACTGTGCTTGCCTTTAGGGAATTATACTCAGGGGAGGGAGCTATTCAAATAAACAAGAATGCGCGTGGAATGTGTTATAGCAGGAGTGTGTATAGGACAGTATGGGAATCGCTGGGAAGAAGCCAGCCTTGGATGTTTAGGGTAGCTGTTAAGGGTGTAGACTTTGGAGTCAGTCGGTACTCACCTAGAACCCCTGTTCTATCTCTTGCTGGTTGTGTCACTTTGGGCAAGTTTCCTTCACCTCTTCAAGCTGCAGCTTTCCCAGTTGTAAATTTGGGATGATTATAGAATCTACTTCTTAGGTTCATATGATGATTAAATGAGATAATGGATTTCAAGAAATGACTTTCTTCCTCTCCTTCACCCTCCTTATATTTTGAAGGCTCAGAAGATATGCTTTGGATTAAATGATTTGAACTGAGTCTTAAAGGATGAGCAGGCACTAGCCAGGTGAAGAGAAAGCATAGAAAGGCAATCAATATAGAAGAATGGTCATGTTGAAAGGAACCGAGTTGAAAGATAAAATGGCTTGTTTGAAGAACTGCAAGTGATTTAGTTTGGTTGAAGTATGTGGGGATAGTGGAGGGAGGGTGTGGCAAACAGATTCAGCGGGGAGTGTCCAGACCGACTTTAAAGCAGGGAGCATGGGAACAAGGGCAGTAGATAGGAGACTGGTTCCAGACCATGGACGCTCTTCAATGGTGTAAGATATTTGAACTTATTTTACAAGTAAGAAAGTTTTAGAATAGTGTTTCTCACAGTTTGGTCTATAAATGTGTATTAAAATCATCTGGACTTGGGCGCCTGGGTGGTTCAGTTGGTTGGGCGACCGCCTTCAGCTCAGGTCATGA